CACTTCAATTGTCGTTCACAGAAGGGCCCTAGTGACGAATGCAGATATTTTGCCAGTTTGAATTAAATGGACCTCGAGAAGATGAGCTCGTCAAACATTAGAGAGCATGGACGTCTCCAGAAATTTGGAGGCCCCAGACAATTTTTGTAAGGGTGGCCCATAATTCTAGCACAATTTTAGTAGCAGTTTTTCTATAAAATCAGATGGTTGGTTCTCTTATAGAACAAACCATCTGGTTCCCTAGCAAAATTGAGTTTAGTAGGACCAAACACTTTCACTTTTACTACAAGAGCGGTAGGTTTTATGTACCTATCCATCAATCCGACGAAAGATTTTGTTAATTTCTCTTCCTTTTTTTTTTTCTTTTTTTCGAACTTCTCGATTCGAATTTGCATTTGCCCATCATAACTTGTCTACAAATCTAATCATAAAATGATTGAATATTATATGAATAAAATTAAAATGAGAAGAGGAAAATTAAAATTAAACTCACTGTTGTAAAATTAAACCTCAAGAACAAAATAAAAAGAAAAAACTCAAATTCCTCAACCATACGTTTGAGTTAATAACAAGTATGAACTTCAGCCAACAGCAAACTCCATGAAAGATCTCATTATTCCCCATATATTGAACCCCTAATTCTTAGCTACCCAGCTGCCAAAACAAATCAAATTCATCAAAAAGCTTCCCAGTTCCCCTCGACTTTTAAGAGCAAAGAGTTCAGCTTCGAGCAATTCAAGCCAATAACACGTCTTTCCTTCACTAATATGACCGTAAGAAGCCAAGAAGGGGAAAAACGTTTAGAACAAAAAATTAGGGTCTCGAAGACTCACGAATTTGGGCGAAATCAGCAGAACCCTTATGAACTCTCCGGCAACCTCCGTCAAGATTCCGATCGATCCTCGTCTGGACACTCACAGAACTGGGGGGGGGGGGGGTGTTCGCCGGCGGCCAGGTATGGCGGCCGCCATGCCTCGCCATACTGGTGGCTCCGCCACTGAAAATAAATGTATATATATTTTTGTTATTGTAATACATCTGCATTGGTGACAATAAGTTTTTGTGCATTTCATTATTCTAACGTGCATCGTGTATTCAAATGCATCTATTATAAAAAAAAAAAAGTGTGAACAATCTTGTTTTAAATACAGTGTTCTAAAAGTCGCTAGGCGTTCGACCAGCGTCTAGCACCTAGAGCGTCTAGGCGGCGCCTAGTCGGAGCCTGGAAATTAATATTAAATATATTATTTTTATTTATTTTAGTTACCTACAAAATAAAACTATTTCAACCTATAATAAATCGACATACCTAAGTCCAAATAATAATATTAATATATTTTAAAGAAAACATAAAAAATAATATAATTAGTATTTAAAAAAAAAAACTAAAAAAATTGCCGCCAAACCCGCCTAGGAACGCCTAGGTCCGTCTATGCCCGCCTAGGCGCCGCCTAACCGCCTGGCCGCCGAGCCTGCCAAGTCCGCCTAGGAGCGCCTAGGGCCGCCTAGGCGCAGCCTAGCCGTCTAACCGATTTTTTCTACCGATTTTTGAAAATTGAAGACGCCCGGGCACCGCCTAACACCTAGGCGCCGCCTAGGCCAAATTTTAGAACATTGCTTAAATCACCATTTGAATTAACCTGGAAAAAATATTGGGGCGAACCACAATGTGGATACTCCAACGCTAAAGTCAGATACTTATAGTTTTAAAGTAAACATGGATCTTTTTTTACTTAAGCAATAATATTGCTTCTTTAAAAAAAAAAAAACGATAAATTTTATAGATAAAAACACATAACACATAAGTACAATTAGAAAACATCAAGAATGAGTCAAACAAACATCTAGCCAATCTAGGGGAGACCTACACAAAGTAAACAACAGAACTACGCTACTAACTCACTAATAGCACAAACAAACTATACACTCCAACTGGGGAGAGCAAAGCTTCAAGGAGGAAGAATAAACAAAAAAACAACAAACAAGGTACTAAAGGAAAACACAGAGAACACACAAACACCAGAAGTACTAGAATAAAATTCTCCTCCAATCGCAGACAAACAACCACACAGACGATGGACCAACACCTAGAGACAACCTACCAAAAGGAATGTAACCCAACTCGAGACAAGAACCCAAAAACTCCGACCAACTGGACCCTCCGTCGAACTAAACTCCTTACCTGACCAAGCCACCCCCAGAACAGCAACTGGAGCACCAACCCTAACCCTGCAGGCCCAAAAGTCTCATTCGGCCCAACACCCAATTCACGCTGTCTGCTCCAGCCAACATCAACAAACCCAGCACAGGGCAACAGAATCAAACAGATGTAAAAAGGCCACAACCCACCTTGGTCAACTCACCGGAGAAGATCGGAGTAAGCCAAAATCCCACGCCTCGACAGCCGCCGAACCCTCCACCAACAAGTAGACAATCGGAGAGTGTGACGAGACTCTACCACAAGAAGGGGTCGTCGACGCTAGACGAGAGCCGCTCGATTCGGTCAGCGTCGAAGCGTGCGACTGGAGGAGGCGGTGATGAGAATTAAGGGTTTATTGTAGCTTTATTTATTTATTTATTTATTTATTTATTTTTTTTGCGAGATAGATGAGAGAGGCTCAATTATATTGCTTACTGCCCAATAAAAAAATTACGCTGAATATAAATAACATGATTTTTTTAGAATGAAGTGTAGATTGTGATATCATCTAATTATATGAAATATTGTATAAATATGTTTCAAGATTAATGCTATTATAAACCAAGTGTAAATCGAATTTTGGTTGATCGAACAAAAAATTGTAATCTATTATATATAGTTTTTAATTTTTTTAAACATCGTGAAGAGTACTTATGAAGTACTGTTTCACATATCAATGCTATCGTTGGTATAAATATAAGTAGAAAATATGAATAAAGTTCAAACATCACAATTATAGTTAGGTAAATGTTATAACATTTATAACAAGTTTATATTATTAGATCTCGCGATGTGGCTAAAAAATTTATGTTCATATATCAAATACAAACTATTAATAAACGTCAAATAAACAGTGCAATCTTCTACAAAAATGAGTAAATCAAAACATGTGATTTTTTCTTCCAATACTAAGACATCATAAATATGTGAATTGGACGTCAAGATTCTCGTCTCCACCTCGAACTGCCACACCATCCCCGCCTCGAATGGCCGCTCCGCCCCTAAGAAGTCGAGGAAGACGAAAGGCTCCCCCGTGAAGAAGGTGCACATACGTAGTTGTGGTCGTCTCTACGAGTCCGCAGCTTGACGTTGTACCTAACTGCGCAACAGAAGCCCGAACCTCGTCCTCAATGTAGGGGGTTCACGATGAGGTCGAGCCGGGATGGCGCGAGATAGGCACTTAAGGTTCTCGGCAGTCGAGTTGAGGATGGAGTTAAGATGCTTGGATATAAGATGTTATATTTTGATTGGACTTTTTTGTTTGGTATGATTAATTTTGAAAAAAAAAAAGTATTATTGTTAGTTGTTAGTCGGACATTAAGTTTATATTAAAATAAAACAATTAAAGTTGATTTGGTGTAAAAGTAAGAAAGAAAAATGTTAAGTGATGGTTAGCTAATATTATGTGAGTGGATGACTTGTGAATTAAAGTTGATGTAATGTGTAAGAATGATTGAGTGGTATTATTTAATCATAATGATAATATTAAAGATAGTGAAATTGAGTTAAAATTAATTTAAAAAAAGCATTTGATTAAAAATGATTGGATTTTTTTTTTACAAAAATTTGTATCCAAGCATGCACTTATGGTTCTCGGAAGTCGAGTTGAGTGATCAAAATGAACTTTTTTCCATCAACAATAATTCATTCTTCGATCCCGTGTGAGCAGAAACGACACCGGACATTCGGAGCCGGTGGCATTGTGGACCGCCTCCTTCACTGCGGTGGGGGGCCACTGCTTCCAACGGTGGGTGGGGCATCAAGTTTCACCATTTTATGAGCTAGACTTTCTTGCTCGTTTCGCCATTTTCTGTGCTAGAGCTTCTTGCTCGTTGAAGAGGGATAGAGTAAAAGAAATAAGCTAAAGTGGTGTGATAATGGCATCATGGATAAACAAACAAACAAAAAAAAAAAGAAAAAAAAACGAAGAACGTGTTGGGCTCAAATATGCAAATGCGGAAAGTATAAATTAATATATCTAGGTAAAATGATGAACAATAATCTCAATCCCAGTAACTCAAAAATAACAAAAGAAATCTCTTGCAATAAAACAGGGATAATTCTTTTCTGACGTGGAAGATCGGATTAAAACTGCAACCAAAAAGTATACTTTGAATATCCCAAATAAATAAAATATGCAAGAAGTAAGACGCCAAGATTTAACGTGGAAAAACCTCCAATGTAGAG